CTGCTCTCCCTCGTGGAGGCCTCAAGCACTGGATCCATCATTTGCTACCTCATAGGGACATTAGTAGGAAGCTTGACTGGAAGTGAAGCAGCCAGGCCTCACCCAGCATTCCAACATGGGACACAGCCTAACCTGCTGCTTCACGTGCTTCGCCACGGAATTCATAAGTACTAATGACCCATAATATCAACAAAATATAACTAGTTCTGATCAGGACTGTTCGGCCTCACAATAAAAATGTAATTTATCAGGAGGAATAATAATTTTTTGGAACGATTAATAGTAACACATTTTCTTCAGGTACTGGTAGTTCCTACCTAACGAGTTAATAAACAAATCCCATAGTACAGACCAATGTCTCCAAACAGACGCTCACCATCCCAAGGACAATTTTCTAATCAAATGCCCCACAAGTCTGGAGAAAACTGTGTCCTTAACACATAATCTGACTTTCTTCTCATTCTTGGAAAAAGTAGCCAATTGGGCCCGGCGGCATGGCCTAGGGTCCTTGCCTTGGATGTGCCGGGGTCCCATATGGGCACCAGTTCTAATCCTGGCAGCTCCATTTCCCATCCAGCTCCCTGCTTGTGGCCTGGGAAAGCAGTCCAGGACGACCCAAAGCTTTGGGACCCTGCTCCCGTGTGGGATACCAAGACGAAGTTTCTGGATCCTGGCTGTGGATCGGCATAGCATCGGCCATTGCGGTTACTTGGGGAGTGAATCATTGGACGGAAGATCTTCCTCTCTGTCTCTCCTCCTCTCTGTACATCTGACTTTCCAATAAATAAATAAATCTTTAAAAAAAAAAAGAAAGAAAGAAAAGAAAAATAACCAACAGCCAAACTTTAGTGCTACACTTTTTTGGTGGAAACAAAAAATTTAATTTCAGAATCACAGAGATGGTAGGGTGTGAACAAAGCACAGAGCAAAAGAGAGATGGCCATCGTGTTTCCAACTGCTGGCTCAGTCCTCAAATGCCCATAAGAGCCAAGCCTGGGGTGGATCAAAGCAGACAGCAAGGAGATCAATGCAGGTCTCCCATGTGGGTGGAAGGAACCAGTGACCAGAACCATACCCTCCCCATCAACAGCAAGCTGGAATCAGGCGCAGAAGCAGGACACTAACCCTTTCAATTACTGACTTCCCTAGGCGGGCAGACCTGAATTGCCCCAGAAATCATTTCAGTACATGTTGGTGTGTTTCATATTTTACAGGATCCCTAGCAGCGTATTTCCCAGAATACCACCCATTTTAACCAAATTCTCAATTTTATCATCCTTTTATCAGACATACGATCAAGTAAATATCTGATCTGATGTGGCCTGATTTGTTTTCACTAATGACTTATGAACTTTTCTATAACTGTTCAAACATATATGCTGCATCTCTCTAAAAAAAGACTGTCTTAATATAAAAATCATATTTTTCTGGGTGGCCTGAAAACACCGCAGATATGCATATAGTCTCTTATCGTTCTGAAACATCCCAGAGTGGCCGTCATGTGACAAAAGCAAATACTGTATCCAGCAAGACAGTCAGCTTTTACTTTTATTGTTTGAGTTAGCTGAAATAAAGCCCTCACCATTTTTGAGAAATTTCTGCTACTTTTATCTGAAGGCCCTGCAGGCAAGATAAAAAAAGTTGAAATTTTAGGCATCAGGAGTTAAGATTTCAAAATGGTTCCCGTACACCATGTAAGTCCTTGACGTGAAATAAATCTTTATCTCCTGCAATTTACACATCTTCCAACCATACATGCACAACACAATGCTGACTCATAGTCCAGATCCTTAACACACTTCTAATTTAGCAGGCATGATGAAATCCACATCCTAAGAGCTGACATCCCAGGCAGTATGTAACAATGGATTAAAATTCAATTTTGGTTCTCAGGATTTCTTACCCATGAATGTAATTTCTATCTCCAAGTATTTAAAAAGTACCGAAGTGGGTGTGGGTGCTATGGCAGTGGAGTAAGATGCCAACTGCAATGCCCATATCATCCATCCAGGTCCCCACTACTTCCCACTGGCAATCTAGCTTCCTGCTGGAAAGCAGGTGAAGGCTCACGTGCTCAGGACCCTCCCGCGCAGGCAGCAGACCTGGAAGGAACTCTGGACCCCTGCATTCAGCGCGGTCCAGCCCTGGCTGCTGCAGCCATCTGGGAGGCGAACAAAAAGATCAACGACTTTTGCTTGCTCTGGTGCTCTCATTTTGCATTTCACACACACAAAAAAATTATAAATAAAAAATGCAAATGCACACACTTAAGGTTTTTTTTTCTTTAATTAAAGCACCTGAAGGTACTTCTCACTCCACTTTGCATAGCTGACATAGCATTAGGCATATGAAAAGTACAACAAAATGATATACATTCCAAGAATTCTTTTAATAGCTTAATGTTGCAATACAGCTAAATTTTCAAAGCACCAAAAGCTTTAACTCACATATCATAGTAACATTTTACTATACACTTTCCTAAAAATAATTTCATTTTTCATAGTAATCATTTCCTCAGAAGTCTATGATGCAATAAAAAGAAATCAATCACCAGCATATCCTTTACCTGAAGACAATACTCATGACCACTTAACTATTGGCAGGAAGAAGCTCCCGGCCCCTGCCTCGGCATCAGCTCAAGGACCTGAGCCATCCTCTGCTGCTTTCCCAGGCCACAAGCAGGGGACTGGATCAGAAGCGGAGCACCTAGGACACAGACCGTTGTCCATATGGGATGTCAGCACTGCAAGCCTGCTATGCCACCAGGCTGCCCCGCCACCATACATTCATCTCAGAAAAAGCGACTATTCTACAAAATTACAATATTACCAGTGTACTTGTGAAATGTCTTTTCATTCAGAAAAGCTCAAGTATATTCACATGCCTTATTCTCATACAATATTTTGAATCTCGGCATAAGGATCTTAACCTGTTGTATTCATAACAGTTCCTCGGAATGAATACAGATCATCTGACGTGACTACAGCAGTCCTAGCAAGAGGAAGGGGCCTGGAAGGATGATTGACCAAAGAGACATTAACTGGAGGCACATACAGGCAGAGCACATGCAGTGGGAAACCCCTCAAGGAATACAATGATACAGCATTTTTGATTGGCACACGAGTAAGGACAGAAACTAAGATGAAAGAAGGCAAATGTTACTCGTGGGGTGACTCCCACTCAGGACACGGCAGAAGCAAGGTTCAGGTAAGACCGAGCGTGATGCAGCCAGCCGTGAAGCTGGTGCACGGGAGCCTCTAGGGCCCCAACCACCACAGCCTCCCGTGAGCTCAACCCAGGACATCCCGCCCAGAGAGGAGCCGTGCAAGGCTGTCAGCGAACAGCCCTGCGTTACAGAGGGCAACACTGCCCTTTTCCTCTCAGAGCTGTCACAATGCCACTGAAGCTTACCACTGGGCACACGTTCACCTCTTCACATGTACAAAATTTCTTAACAAGAGAAACTGGACCTCAGTTCCAAGGTAAAAGCTGAGAATGAAAAACATGGGAGTTGAAAGCCCCGTTCTGGTTTGCCCTCCTCTAGAAATTAGCATCCAATATCCACTGAAAACAGGACTGAGAAGGGGTCTGGGATACGCAGAGCACCTTGTTTCAAACTTGCAAAATGAGCGGGGAAGAGAGGGTACACAGAATTTGTTTTCATTTCTGCATCTTTAACTTGATATAAAGAGCCTTGCTTCCATGCATCACAAAAATGGTATCATGGTAATGGTGTATGTGCCCTTTTCAGGAACCCGCCCCCCCCCCAAGGCCCCCTTACTCTTACTAATAAAGGTTTGGGGAAGAATAAAACCATTAAGAGTTTGTAAGCTAAGGTTTCGAGAGGAAAAAAAAAAAAGACAACAGGATGCATAAGCAGCTGGGTGTCTCAAACAGTAATCCAATCGACTAGTGCTCGCAGTGAATCTCCGTGTGAATGAACTGCCATTTTCTCAAACTTTCCTAAACACTGGATGAGCCTTCTCCTTCTATCTGTCTCCTTCAGTTTTCCCAGGGGATGCCACGGCTTCTGCATACACACACAAACACACACACACATTACACCGAACTTGCTCTCCATTCTCCAGTCACAATTTTAAGGCACTCCTCCAAAAAACAAGCCTACGTACAGCGGCTCGCGCCAGTCACTGCCCTGGAACTGCAGCTGACAGATGCTGCCAGGGAGCCCACAGCTGAGTGTTGGCTGCGGCTCCGCCAGAGAGCGGCGAGCAGGAGCCTGCAGATGCACAGCCCGGCGGGCGCGGATGGGTGCAAGACACCGCCAGGGCCCATCACACTCACTTTCCGGGCCCCTACAGGCTATTTTATTAAGCAGTTAGCCCCACTCTCATGTCTACCCACAGCTCACTTTCGTCTCCTCGGTTTCAGATCCGTCTTCCCCAAGTCTGATTTTGGTCAAACAAACAAATAAATAAATGACAATAATAAAGCGCAGCCGCTGGCATCATCGCCAGGACCGGGGCACCCATGAAGCCGCTATCTTGAGAAGCTTCCCGCTGCTGCAGAAGGACCGCAGGAAGTTTTGTGGCAAGCAAGGGACCCCCTCACATCTCTGCAGGGTCCTCTTCCACTAGGCGAGGGTTTCTTTCTCTCTCTCTCTCTCTCTCTCTCTCTCTCTCTCACACACACACACACACACACACACACACACACACACACACACACAGATGGGCAAACCTCCCCTTCCCCCCGGCCCCCGGCCCCCATCCTCCACCCCCTGCAGCGGCTCACAGGACAAACACAAACCCCTCGGTTCCCGGCAGGATGCAGCACCCCGGCAGGGACGCCCCACCCCCATCCCGTTACCCTAAACGAGATGTCCAGGCACCCCCGGGAACCCCTTGTCCCCGCACCGCAGCCCGGCGCCCCGACGCCACGCACCCAGCACTCGGGCCGCTCGGGGCCCCGCGGCCCCGTCCCCGCCGCGGCCCCCGTCCCCGCTCCGCCCCCCGCTGCAGGCTCGCCTCTCCCCCAGTTACCGTGGGAAGACCGGACGGCCGTAGAGGACGCGGCGGCAGCGCTGCTGCCGGTTGCGCCGGACGCGAAGGAGAAGCTGGAGGACAAGGATGATGATGAGGCGGGCGCGCTCCCCAGTCTCCATGGAACTCCCGCCCCGGTCCGTTGCTAGGAGCCCCCGAGGCTCAGGCTCCGTCTGTCGCGCTTTGTTGTTCCGGGTCCGGGGCGGCCGCCGCTTCCCCCGCGACAATAAATAGACCCGACGCGGGGGAGCATAGAGACGGCGCGCGCCGGCTAGAGCGCCGACGGACAGGGCGCCCCGGGCTCCTCGCTAGCCAGCCACTTCCGGCTCTCACTGCTCCCGTCTCCTTTCCCCCGCCTCCCTCACCCGGACTCTCCCTTCCTCTTTCCTGGTCCTTCCCGCCCCGCACCCGCACACACACGCACACACACATACACCCCAGTCAGGTCCTTCCCGCCCCCGCGGGAATGGCCCCGGGTGAGAGGGCCTCGGGCTCGGCTTTCTCTCGGGAAACACTTGAGAACAGGGTCTGAAAACAAAACTGTCCAGATGCTATGCCGTACATGGACTTGAAAACCCAAAGCTTACAACTTTCTCATGAGCTCATCCAGGTTATACAAAAGGCCCTCCTAGAACCGGTGAAGCTGTGCCTTTGAACGGCCAAAGGAGGCAGAAATGAAAAATCATCCCATTTCTCTGTTCCAACTCAGAGCGTTTCCTCGACGAGGGCGCCTAGCAGGCAGTTGGAGCTCGCCTCTTAGCGCGACGGGGGAGGAGAGAGGACAGATGGACGCGCACGCCCCCCGTCCCTTGTCCCTTCCGAGTGTCTTACTCAGCCTCGCCCGGGCGCTCAGGACTCTCCGTCGGGCACCGGGAAGCTCCGGGGGCGGCCGAGCCGAGTGGACAGCAGTCGGAGACCCCTGTTGGAACCGCCGCGTCGGGGCCTCCGCAGGGACCGTGGCTTGAGGGCCACTGGCCGCGGGAACGACACCGGCTGACCTAACGGCTCCGGGGCCGCCGCGCGCCCTCCTGACCTCGGGTGTCGGAGCCCGCGCGAGCCGGAGCCCTCCCGCCCCCGGTGGAGGCCGTGGGGGACCCGAGTGGAGTCATTAAAAGGCCACGCACAAAGCGAGTTCACAGATGTCTGGTGTTACTCGAGGATGAAAAATGAAAATGTCACTGTTCATTTGAAAGATAAGAGACGGGCTGTATTCCAGAGGCTCGAAGCCTTTGGCCATTTGGGGGTTTAATTATTTATGGAGCCTCCGAGGCTGCCTCTTGATCTTGTACTTGATGCCTGCTCATAGTGTTCAAACACGTCTCTGAGCAGTTGAGGGCTCTAGGATGTCAGATGATGGAATTCGTTTTTCGTGTCTGTACTAACAGAATAATAATTAAAATTGCAGCTCATGACAGGTGTAGTGCAGAAAATCCCCCCGAGTTAGGCATCCCTGTGTTAGTGAGGAGAGGGGGCTTTGGGAAGTGATATTCCAGCTGATCCCTCCAGGGGATGGGTGTGGGAGAGATCTGCGTGGTGTGTTCCCATCTGAGGGAACAGTGTATGCAGGAGAGCATACTGCCTGCTGTGCTGGGGTGTTCGTTCTGCTGGGGCATTGTGCAACACAGCGAGGGAAAGACGCCAGATGAAGTAGCAGGAAAACGAAGACATGGGATCTTCGATGCATTATTGAGCACAGAAGGCATTTAGATTTTCTTTCGTTCAAGTTCTGTTGGAAGTGAGATTCCAGCTGGAGAATAATATGGTCAGATTTATCAAGGAAATGTGCTTTTCCAAGGGTTGCTGCCATGGCTGAGAAGTCAGTTTTACAGCACCAGTGACCAATTTGAAGCTTTTTACAGGACAGTCTCATGCAAGGAGACAGGCAGGGCACCCAGAACCAAGCTTGCCAATCCCTTTGGTCTCCCCTTTGTCATGGATCAGCCAACAATTTGCCTCTGCACACTAGTTCCTCATATTGGAATTGCAGTCCATATGAATAATACATAAACTGGCTGTATGCTTCTATGCTATCGCATTAGCCCCTACAATGTTCCCCTGACCCAGGAACTCACTTCCCAGAGGAAGAAATGAAACAATGAGATGAAGACCCTGGGCTTCCCTGTTCTTACAATGGCCCGATTCTTCAGAGACTAACCATTGTTTAGTAAGATCGTGTAGTTTTGTGTTCTGAATCAAGACTTCATTAATGGGAATTTGCAGCTGTCTGACCCTGCCTGGCTTCGTCAAGGTGAGATGGGAATGAGAAAGAGCCATCCCTTGTAGGCTGGGAAAAATAGCTGACTTCATTAGTTCGTTCAGTGCTAAGCAGAAAGAGATGTACAGTGTAAAGTCAGTCTGTGAATCGTGCTAGTCAGCAAGGAAATCAATATGGAAATTGAAAGGAACATCTTGAACCTTTTGGTAATGTGACATCGGAGTGGCATCTAAGCCTGGAGTTTTGTACTTATAAAGCATTTGTCTACTTTGGGTTGGTAACTAAAAACAACAACACACAAATGGATTCTTCACCACAGCCAGTTCCAAAGAAATTGGTAGATGACTTATTTTGCCTAATAAGGTTCTGTCATTAGGAGACTTAGAAAAAAAAAATCAGGCTATTAAAATGTGTTGGCTACTTCTTTAGTGCTGTAAGAGACAAACTGTGATTCAACAGGGCCTTGCTAAAGAGACTGGCAACAGTGGAGTAAAAAGTACACAGCGTTGTCAAGAGGAGTCCTTCCTGCCAGGGAGTGCAGGCAAGGGTCGATAGTACTTGCTATGCCAAATGAAAAACTGAACCTTTTTCCTTATGCAAAATGCACTGAATTTGGAGACCCATTGGAACAATTTAGCAGGGAGACCTTATTGCTCGGGATTCATTCCAAAGATCTCCTGCTGTGTCCTCATACCATAAAGATAATTCCACTTAATGCCAAGTGGAGTGTTGTACAACTTAGAGGATGCAGTTCGATGCCACAGCCTGGCTTCATAACCCCAACCCCTACCCTCAGATGGGGTTGTGAACAAAAACCATTGAAGGAAGGTCTGGGGAGACTGACGAGTTGCCAGGTAAGTTTCCAGGAGATAGAAACAGGAAGGGCAGAGTGCATATTCAGAGCTCATGTCTCAGTGACATCTCTGATAACAAGCTAATGGATTTCCCAGATGGCATTGACTGGCAGCCAAATGAAGTTTGAAGGTGTTGCCAGAATGTCCTCAGCTTAGCACAAGGTAGCTACTGTCACACTCTGTCCAAGGCTGTGCTCCCTACCTGGTAGAAAGAGACAATATATTTTCAGGACAGTTTTAGGTAATTCCAATATATTTCCATCTCAGTTTTAGGATCTTTGAGAAGAGGAGAATCTTAGCACTTTCATTGACAGACCAAGGCCTGGGGTGCCGAAGTGACATCTCTACTTCTATTAATTACGTCCAACAGGATATGGTACATGTTCACAATAATTATATGCTACTTTTCCTTCTTTCCTTTAGTTGTTAGCTTGTGTTATTCCTTTCTCACATATTTGCAAATATGGGATGAATTCATTAGTTACCACTTAAGATATATCTGTATCTAGTTAAGATTGTTAAGTGCTCAAAGATCCTAAACTTGAGGTTGAATTCAGTAGTTAGATGTGACTGCGTTTTATTTTTTTTTCTCCTATGGGGGTAGAAATTAGGCATATGAGATTGTGTGTATGTATGTGTTCATAAATGATGTACTGAGATGGCAAAAGGGGAACTATAAGGAATATTTGTGTGATGTTAGCCCATAACTCTTTTCTTCTTTGGGGGAAAAGTGCTCTTTTCCCTTATTTTGCAGAATTACTTCTCTGCCTGTTCCCCATTTAAAAAGACTGCAAATATAAGTGGCCGTGGCCTCCATGATGGATAGGTCAGTTTTGGATCAGAGGTGGGCCAACAACAGCACCTAGTCTGAAACTGATCTGTTCTTCTAGGCTCCAGACTGACTCTGCTTACTTGCACTGTTGAGTTGTGTATGGTCCCGGTAAGTAGTCTTCTTTTGCCAGCTCTCATAATGTTTTGTTCTCTAGGTAGAAAATACCAGAGAGATTCTGAAATAAGTACAGATTTTTCTTATGATTCCTGCATGTTCCCCAACAGGTTCCTCCTCTCTAGCATCTACCATTTGCAGAACAGATGGCTTTTCCAGCCCTACTCAGGGATCCAAACGACAGTTTTGAAGGAAACTCTTCTAAGTTTGAAACTTGACATATATTTGCCCAGTAATTTTGGAGTGGGAGAACAGCAGCGTACTCTATCACTAATGATAGGTTTAAATCGTCAGGAGCTTAGAAGAAATGAGGATGGAAAATAGGTAATATGGGAAAGATGTATATAGATGTACTTCTCTGACTAGGAATGTTAAATAAAATTCTGTAGGTGGTTATTTGACTTGAACTGGTTCCTATGCGGTGTCTCACAGACCAAGCCAATGTAGAATTTTATCACAACAGTCGAGTTTTAGTTAAATTCAGGAGACTCTGTAACCAATTCACCAACTCTAAGCAACTTGTATGTATCATTCTGTTTTCAATAAATGCTGTCTAATCATGTTGGTGGGGGTTCTTAGACACTGGTGATGGGGGATGTCCAAGTCATGAATATGTTTGCTTTGTTTTTATTTGCTCAAAAAGTCTGTTAAATTTATTTGATCTAAGAATTTTCATTTTAACAGGTGTACACTTTAACGATATTCGTGTCCTATCTGACTATGCAATGCATCCACTGCAGAGGACACCTTGGTAATCAGATAGATAAAAATGGCGTACTTTTAGGATATCAGTCAGCAAGTTTGCACAGCCACTCCAGTGCTTACTCAAAGGGCTCATGACAAAGTAGCCCTGGAGGCAAGAATGGAGGTTATACATGTGCTCAACAACTTGGATTTCCCCTTACCAAGGCTCACCTTGCCAACATTACCACTAACTGCTTAGTATGCCAAAAGTGGAGCAGAGATAATACTGAGTTCCTAATATGGCACCATTCCCAGGGGCGATGAGCCAGCCATCTGCTCGCAGGTTGATTACATTGGACCTCTTCCATTATAGAGGGAACAAAGATTTGTCCCCATTGGAATAATCAAATATTCTGGATTTGCCTTTTCTGCTCATAATACTTCTGCCAGCAACACTATTTGTGAACTAATAAAATGCTTTACTTACTCTCAGTATGTTTTCCTCAACTTTGCATCTGATCTGGGAAACTCATTTCACAGCGAAGGAAGCACAGCAATGAGTTTGTGCCTGTAAAATTAACTGGACTTACTGCACATACCTCCCCCATGGAAGCATCTGGTTTAACTGAATG